ACATACAATTCATTTCATAAAGATTTATTTATTTATTTATTTATTTATTTATTTGAGAAAGAGAGTGAGCCAGCCTGTGTGTTGAGAGTTAGGGGTGGGGCAGGGGGCAAAGTGGTGGTGGGAAGAAGCAGAGGGAGTGAGATGATCTCAAGCAGATTCCCTGCTGAGCTGGAAGCCCAGCACTAGGCTTGATCTTAGAGCCCTGAGATGCGGACCTGAGCCAAAATGAAGAGTCAAAGATGCTTAACCAACTGAGCCACCCAGGTACCCCAATCCAGTTGACATGGAATTCTACAATGGAAGAATCAGAGATACAGAGAAGTCATCTTTTTCAAGGTCATACGGAGTACAAAGTATTACATTGAGGGTAGGCCAAGTTTTGCTGCAGTAACAATCCTAACCCCAGAGGCTTGAAATAATGCAACATTCTATATATTGGACAAATGGCTGCACTCTCTGGTCTCAGGAACTTAGGCTAATGGAGGCTCTCTCCCTATAACATGAGGAAGGGAACTTGATAAATTGTTCACTGTCTTTTTTAAGCTTCCATGAAGAAGTAACAGATCACTTCTGCTGATATTTTTATTTGTCAAAGCAAAGGAGACAGAGTTCAATCCTGCCATGCACATAGAAGAACTGGCATGCTTACAAAAAACCCTAATGACTACTATACCGGGTTAGGGAAAGACCAAACAGCTTGTACCCATATTCAAATATGAGTTCAGTAAGTCTGTCCAAAATCAACTATAAATTATCTGGATTATATGTTCACTAAAAAAATCTTAATTGTATTAATGTTAAATATATAGAAGGTAACTATGTTTCTCTGATCCATAAAATTTCAGTAGCTGAGAGAACAAAATATTTCATAATGGATTAAAATTGTCCTTAAAGATTTTATTTATTTGAGAGAGTGAGAGTGAGAGAGAGACCACAAGCCAGGGGAGATGCAGAGGGAGAGGGAGGAGACTCCCTATTGTGCAGAGAGCCCAATGTGGGGCTTGATCCCAGGGCCCTAGGATCATGACCTGAGCCGAAGGCAGACACTTAACCAACTGAGCCACCCAAGCACCCCAACAGTGTTTTATTTAAGGATTTTAGTTATTTATTTGAGGGAGTGAGAGACTGCTTGAGATGGGTGAGGGTCAAAAGGAGTACCAGACTCCCTGCTGAGCAGGAAGCCCAATGTGGAACTAGATCCTGAGAGATCATGACCTGAGCCCAAGACAGGTGCTTAACCAACTGAACCACCCAGGTGCCCCAAAATTTTTGTAAAAGTTTTGATGAGACAGAGTATAAATCATGTAAAAGCTTCCACTATTTACTATAGAGAAATTATTTTCTACTTAAAAGAGATAGAAAAAATAACCCACAAGACTATTTCTCCTCTCTTCTCTAATCACCTTATCTGGTTATAATCTAAAGACTTTTACTTATTGGATACACTAAAATGAAAAGCTTATTACATTTTGACATTTGGGTCCTTTGCTCAGTATACAGATATTCCTTATGATGGGGTTACATCCTGATACACCCATATTAAGTAGAAAATATCATTAAATTTAAAAATGCATTTAAAACATCTAACCTACTGAACATCATAGGGGAGCCTCACATACTTCAAATACGCTCAGAACACTGGCATTTAGCCTACACTGGGCAAAATCATCTAACATAAAGAATTTTTTTATAATAGTGTTGAATATCTCATGTAGTTTAATGAATACTGTACTGAAGTGAACAACAGTATAGTCCTTGTAAGTTTATTGTGTGGTTGATTGGGAATGGTGGCTTACTCTTGCTGCCCAGCATCACAAGATAGTATCCTACTGCTTATCACTAGTCCAGGAAAAAATCAAAATTCAAAAAAGTATTCTAGTTTCTGCTGAATTCCTATCACTTTCCAAAACCACAATTAAAAAAACAAACAAAAAACCCAAAACTTAAGTCAAACATTCTACGTTGGAAGCTGTACTATACAGAATAGTTGCAGCAGGCACTGTCTTTCAATCACTAATAGCCACTTTCTTTTCCCTTTTTAGTAGAAAACATATGTGTTTCAGTGTCCATCCTTCCCACAGAAGACTTCAGAGAAAGTCTTAACTGCTCAAATCTAGTAACTATGGTGCCAGCCGTTCCCCTTGCTAGTGTTGTAGTTAGTAATGAATACACGGCCCTTGTGCCCAATGAGTGGTGGGTTTCTAGACAATCTTTCTTAACTCTTAAAAATAACTCGAAACTGCATTTTTCTTGTTGGATATTGTAAAATCTGTACGGGATGGTTGGAACTATGGCAGCCATCATGTGACAAACAAAGAGCTTAGAACAACAGGCTGCGTAAGATAGAAGACCCTTAAGTCCACTCAGATCTATTTATTGTGAGGTAAAAGTATACATTTCCTAATTCCCAAAATGCTGGTCTGAAAGATTCATGGCTAGAATATAAGTCAACACACTTATTTTCATCAGCTTGTCTTAGATGCACTGCCCACATTGCTAGGATGGACTAAGCAGTGTGGGCTGTGACATAGTTCAATTACATTTTGGTACAAACTTCTCTCATTTAGTCTGCAATAACTGGATTATTTCAATATACATTTGGTTGGAAAAATCAGCTCAGCAAGTATTGGGGAAAATTTTACTTTTATCCAGAAAACACTGTGACATATACCATTTTGGTGTGTAGATTAGGCCTGGAATTTGCTCTTAAGTAGTTCTATCATTCTTGACTTCCATTTGATAAATGTCCATTGACCACTCACTAAATTATACATGCAGGATACATGAATAAGTAATAGTCTTTCTGGTCTCAGATCATACGCTGGTATGAGATAGGGAAGGAAATCAGTAATTACAGTACACGCTGAGGTAATTATAAAGCTGGTTATAAGGTATTAGCGACTTATGTGTAATGTGTTCGAGCTAATGGGGAAGAATCAGCAGGAGAAAGCTTTACAAAAAACATGGCACCTGAACTAAGACTTGGAAGTGGTACATAAAACTGGAGCTCTACGTTCAGGGTGAGGTTGAAAATTGCAGGGAAATGACTAATGACATGCTAAGGAGCTGGAATTTTACTGACGCTGACAGCTTACTATAGGCATCCAGGCACTTCTGGATATGGGAAGGTTGAAATACCTGCTGGACAGCCGTTTAGAACTATAGCTCACATAACTGAAAGCACCAACCTGTAACTGCAGAATGGCTTTGGAATCAACTTCAACAATTTTAACAATGTCCACTTTATTTCCTCTGCCTCACTTTTAAGTACTCTACATTAGGAGCCTAGCAAACTGCCTAAATTGACATCTACTTCCACTTTTAATCTTCACAACTAGATACTCTTAATACAACAGGAACCGAGACAGTCTCTTGTTGGAAGAGGATACGTGACCAAAGCCTGGCTTGGAATCCAGGCAAGTTTTAGTCCTGATCCTATAACAGTTCTGCCTCTGTAGCAAAATATGGGTACTTCCTTCAGGGCAGTCAAAGCTTAATTATGGAAGAATAGTGGTTCTTCTTAAAAACAAATCCTGAGTTCTTGCCCCCTGCCAAAATCTATTCAGGTCTTCTGTAATCAAGGAAGCCATCTGTGTAAGGTACTTCACTTGGACTGGCTCAATTGCAAGCAGGATGTACAGGTCCATCCAGTTTAAATTTTCCAAGAGAACCTGGGTTTTTCATGGGTATCTTGTGCCTTTTAAAAATCCAACCCAACACTTTAAATATTACACTAGATGAAGTTGCATGCTTGTATGAAATTGTCATGGTTACTTTTTAAAGATTTTATCCACTTTTCAGAGAAAGAGCACAAGCAGGCTCCCCACTGAGCAGGGAGCCCAACCTGGGACTGGAGCCCAGGACCATGGGATCATGAGCTGAGCCAAAGGCAGAAGCTTAACCAACTGAGCCACCCAGGCATCCCTGTCACAGTTAATTTAATGTCAACCTGACTGAGCCTTGTGTCCAGATATTTGGTCAAACATTTTTCTGGATATTTCTGTAAAAGAGTTTTTTGGAGAGATAACATTTAAACTGAAGGAGTTTTCAGTAAAGCTTATTATTCTCTATAAGGTGGGTTACCCTCATGCAATCAGTTGAAGACCTTAACAGAAAAAGACTAACTTCCCTGGAAGAGGACTTTTTTTTTTCTTTTAAAGATTTTATTTTTAAGTAATCTCTACACCCAACATGGGCTCAAATTTATAATCCCAAGATCAAGAGTTGCATTCACACAGTACTGAGCCAGCCAGGTGCCCCGAGAGGAAATTCTGCTAACAAGACAGATTTGGCAGAGAATGGAACGGCAATTTTTCCCTGGGTCTCCAGCCTTCAGCACTACCCCCATCACATTTTGGACCTGTCTCACCTCCACAACCACGTGAGCTAATTCCTTAAAACAAATCTTGTCTATATACGTATCTGGTTGGTTGTTCCTCTGCAGAACCCAAATACAGAAACTGAACAGTTATCTTGCCTCTGCCACTCAACGTACTCATGCACTAAGACCCAGCTAGCTGAAACCTTTTTATGATGGGGCAATTTGTGCTCCTCTCCCAGGACAGGAAAGGGTTTTTTCTCCTCATTCATATAAAATCCTCAAATACTTTAAATGAGAAAGACAAATTTAATAAATCAGTTATTTTCTACCTAGACCTTGCTGCTAACGATAACATTTGATTTGTGATGTATTTTACTTCAGAAAAAAAATCATTTAAGACTTGCCAGAAACCAAAATGTTTTTAGCTTACTGAATCCGAAAACAATACAAGAGGTTCTATTCCCATTTCCTCCAAAAAAACGAAGACAGTTAAGTTTATAATTTATAGCAGAGATTTGAACCAAGGATTTGAAATCATTTTATGAACACTGAACTCCTGTTTTCACCTTCCCAAAGGTGGAAAGCCTTAATTTTCCATAAATACAGGATAATATCTGATTTATCAATGGATAAAAAACAAAACAAAACAAAAAACAATGAAATGCAAGTACAGGGAATAAACTGCGCAGTCATAAAGATTTAATTATATATCCATACTTAAGCAGCTATTGCATGGTTATTAAAGAGTGTCAAGATAGGCCCCGTCACATAAACTTAGAGGAAAAAAGTTCTTTAAGGTTCCAGCAAATCAACAGTTTAACATTAGGGATATACAGGACATCTAATGTTATGGTGAGGACTAATTTAGGCAGTAGCTTTGTTCTATGAAAGGATATAGAACACCCACAGCAATTTTTCAAGAATCCATAGACTTTCTTGTAACTATTCTAGTTTTTAAATATTGGTTTAAAAACTACAGTACACCTAATCACAAAAAGTCTAGCACTCAAACGGACCACCAGTTTACAACCTCTACTTTACAGCATTCTTCTAATACCAGAGTGGTATTCCAAAAATGACCAAACTAGGACTAAAACATTCAGCCACTATCTTTTCTCTGCCCCAATTCAAAGCCCTAGGAACGAAGTCATTACATTTTATGTGGCTAACAGCATTTCACTATTCATAATATAAATTTGATTCACTGATTCAACTACAAATCAGAGCCATCTTTTAGTCCATTCCTACTAAAATTCCAGAATTAAGGAATATTTCCATATTCCGTCTTAGAAGCTATTACATTTCATATATTCTACTTTTATTTTAGTCTAAACAAAACTAGTATTGGTCAAGAGCAAACTTATCAAGGCCAAATTTTAGTTTTAGATCACAGTTCTGAAGGACAAAAATAACCTCTTGGACTTCACTGTGTACACACTACTGGTTTTCCTCATGATTAATTATCACTCATGAAGAAAACCAATTTTACTGCTTTAAAGTAAGGAAAACTAAAAGTGCACTTCTTCCTTTTTTAATTAAAAAAAAAATTACCAACAAGGTCCAGACCTAGTAATCAAAAATTAAATAAACCCTTAAAATCTAAAAACAAGAAAGAGGCTAAATCACACACATATTTTGATGAAACAAACTAATCCTGGACTATTTCTCAAATAAAAAAGTAAGCACAATTATTATATTCCATGTTTCAGAGACGAGGCATTAAGGATTCATGCCATAAGTTTATTTACAAACATATTGAGTATGTTGAATTCAAGAGTTTGATCCGTTTTTCAAAGAGACTGCGCCTCTTAAAATGTTCCTTTCCACATCTGCAAATAAAGACAAAAAGTTATTTGCATTAAAATGTCAGTCATTAAAAAGAAATCAGTTTCATTAACGTATTGTTTATCAGTTCATGACTGGTACATCAGAAAGCGTTTACAGTATCATGACTTTATTCATACTGATTTGCTTCATCACATGCACCAAAGTCTTTCTATTGTAGGTCGCTTGGTAAATCAATTCCCTTATAAATGAAGACAAATGAAGTCTTTTCTTCTCAAAGATATTTTTGGAATTTATCCTAATCAGCCCACAGAGCTGCCCATAATGTCGCTTTGAGGAAAATTCTGATTACAATCAATAATAAAGGAAATAAATCTTTTCTTCTCACACAAAGTAACCACTAACTTTCCAACACACAAGACTGGTTTCAGCATTTATTGCCCTCAAGATCATCTAACCAGAACTCTAGGTGGTTAGGAGTGTGAACTCTGGAACAAGATGGTAAAAATCCTGGTCCACCATCACTAGCTATGAGATATTGGGCAACTTAACATCTTTATGTCTTAGATTGGGTTAAGCCACCCACCTCACAGGTTTGCTAGGTAACAAAATGAGATTATTAATATAAAGTGTGCCTAACAAACAGTAGTATCCAATCAAAACTGGTTTTGAGAGAAAGAAACATCTGTTCATAGGTTTATCAACCTGTCTCCACCGATGCCATATCAATCAGCCCTACATACTGTGTGTGTGAGATTGGGGTTGTGGGGAGGGGAGGAAGAAAGAAATATAAGGGAAAACATTGCTTTGGGATGATTAGAAATCCATTAATTACCTGTTTGATGGATCAAGTAAAACATCCTTACTTCTTAAGCAGTTGATGTCTTACTATAAAAAAAGGTGCAGCAAATCCAGATCCAAAGTACAAAGTCATCATAACTAGTAATCGCCACTTGTTTTCCACTGAAAATGGCAAATTCTGTTGGGGAAAGAGAGCAAGCAACAAAAATAGAACTTCAAATCATCTGATGCTAGATAATTTTTTTTATGTAATCAGGTTATGTATGCCATATATCATTCTTCTTTTTTTTTTTTTTTTTTTTTTTACAGATCTTATTTATTTATTTGACAGACAGAGATCACAAACAAGCAGGGGGGGGGGGCGGCAGCAAGCTCCCTGCTGAGCAGAGAGCCCCATTCCGGGCTGGATGCCAGGACCCTGAGATCATGACCTGAGCCTAAGGCAGAGGCTTTAAACCACTGAGCCATCCAGGTGCCCCCATCTTTTTAAACATTTTTACATTCTACATCCCATGATCTAGAAACTAGCCACCTGGTAAAGGCACGGGCAATGTTAACTGCATTATGAAGTTTTGACTTTTTCACAACCAAGAAGGCCTACCATGTACACGTTTTCTCAGCCCTTTACTACTAGGCCACGATCACTAGAGTACTTACTTCTAATTACTCGATTTAATCTATTTACACCTGAAGCTAAACCCAACCTGAACTAAGAGGTTTAATACTTCTAATTTAGTCAAGTGCTTAGATAAGACTGGACCACAGCTATAGGCCTCACATCCTCATTGTTTCCAATGACCTTCTCTACGAGTCCGGTGACCTCTAGCTCAGCTTTAAGCCACAAATATCTGCAGCCCTGGCCTCAAGGACCCTCCAGATCGTGGGGGGCCCAGAGGGGAACACTAGGGCGAGGTAGGGTCTACGGCTCTTCCTACTCATTCTTTTCCACCGTGACGGAGTGCTGCCAGGGTCCTGTGCTTTGGCCTGGTTCCAGGGGAAAGTGGAATGCTACTTGACAACCCAGCTCACATTTTCGGCTTCCCGCCTCCCTTTCCAGTCCACAGGAGGCCTTGGGGTTCGGCTAGTCGCAGCCAGGTACCCCCTCCCCCAACGAAGCTGGGCCCCTTACACACTAACCTTTCCTGGGCCCTCCTCATAGTGGCTCCTACGGACCACAGAGGTTGTGAACCTCCGGATGCTCTGTCCCAACATACCGCCGTTGGAGGTTCTGCGAAAAGCACAGAGCCCAAAGACGGTACAAACGGCAGCACCACGAAGCCCTCCTCTTTTCACGACCTTGTTCCTCGGCGCGTAGGAGCCGAAAGGGAAGATGGGAAACGGGGAGCGACCGCAGAAGATGAGACAAGATGGTGGGATCCGAGGATTGTGGGAATTGTAGTTTAGAACATAGTACGACCTTATCGGCTCTGAAGGATTATGGGAAATGTAGTCTGACGCGCAAGCCGGACACAGGGGGGTTGTAAGGGCAGTGGTGGCGGGGGTGTGTTGGGGTCTCTGGAAGGACAAGAACCTACCGCGTTTCTTATCCGCAATGATTTATTCAAACCTGAATTCTTGTCAGGATTTTTGGGATCGGATTCCAGAACGATTTTACTGAATCTAGTGACGCAGTTTCACCTAGTTTATGAAACACAAAAATAAGTCAATAAACCTTTCCCTTTTCTTTTTTGGTAATTTTTTTTTTTTTTTAATATGCTCGCTACTTGTAATTTGCAGTACTCTGCCAGCGCTGAGAGAGATGTATGCTGTGATCTTATCCGAGGAAACAAAGTGTAAACACAAGTAACCAAATAATAAGCAGTACAAAAAATGTCAGGAAACCTAGTTGAAGTGCTAAGGGAAGGATTCCTGAAAATATAGGTCACTGAATAGATCAGAATTAAGACAGGGCAGAGCAAATTGAAGGCCGGTATGGGTATGACATATTCGGAGCATGAAAGAGAAAAGCAGCCGCTCACATCTGGAGTTAGCCTGGATTGGGAATTGGTGTTGTGAATGTAAACAATTTCACAGAACATCAGCATCAGACAAAGTCACTCTGTTCACAATGGTTCAAGAAAAAAGGGTAACGTCCCTCCTTTATCGTGTCTGACCACAGACAAAAATGAACATTGTTCAAGTAACAAAAATGACCAACATCACCATATCTAGTCTAAAACGATGAGTTCTGCCTCTTTACCAATTACCATCTTAACCTTGGATTAGTCTTTCTTCCAAGTGGAATTTAATAAGATAGACAAGTAACAGAAAACAAGCCCAAATCTTGTAAGTCTTGACATCTTTTTTTTTTTTTTTGCTGAGATGCCCATGGTTCCTCACAGTATTCTGTCTCCCTTAATGCAGTGAGTAATAAGCCCAGCTTGTTTAATTTTAAGTGTGTTCCTGGTGATCTTTTGACTGGTGGGAATCAGGAAGAAAGCAGTGATGCATAAGGCTGGAAAGTGGTATTAAATGAGATTTGTGAAGGGCCCTGCTAACCTAAAGTTTATGTCACTCATCTGTGGGAGAGCATATATTGCCTCAGATGGCTCATTTATACAGCAACACTAAACGAAGTCTTGCTTTGAAAACTGGGTATAAAATATATGCTTTCATCTTATTTAACTTTCGATAGAGAAAAGTCATGCTTCTCCATCCCCAACCCACTTTAAAAAATTAGAAAGTTTCATTGCTATAAGTAACTTCTGATTAAGTAGAGATGTGTGTAATAATGCATTATAATTGGTGTCCTCCTAATAGAGGTTATAGGACATTAACTTTTCTTAAATGTCTCTCAAGGCTTTTATATAGTAGAGGATTTTGATTTAACTATAATTGGGAAACATTTTCACATTTAGTATTTCTGGATTGTCCTTTTCAGTCTAATGTAAATATTTTTTGCAAGATTGCAGGGTTCTTATCTCATGGAGTCAAAGAATGAATCTCAAGGACACAAAAGGGTGAAGTGAAGTGAAAGCTTAGTAAGTTAAGGTGAGAACAGAAAGTGAAAGCTGTCAGTCCCAAATGGGATGCCACTGAGGGACTTTAGGGCCTTTTTTATTGAAAATGTGACCCTGAAGCTAGTTGCCTTAAGATTCTTACGCCGTCTTGCTTTGAGTAAGGACTACTGATAACACCCTTAATGACTTACTTCTTTGGTCTGGTCATTTTCTGTGATAACAATGTAGCCTCCAAAGAAAAATAGTCCCTAACATCCAGGGCCAGGTGGTCTAGCCTATTCCTTTATCTCTTGTTCATTCTGTCTTAGTGCTTCCGCCTGCCAGGGACAGTTTCAGAGTCTAGGCAGCAACAACCCCCACCCACCATCTCTCCTTGCCTATACTTATCTTAACCCTTTCCTTACTCAATGTCTCCTATATATTTGTTTCATTGTAACTTCTAGTTCATACTATTTGAGTCTCCACTGTGTATCTGGCTTTCAGCTAACTCCAAAGGGAACTTCAGGATAGACTCTAGTATGTGACTTCAAAACTTTTCAGTCTTTCCATGGGCCCTGGGACAAATTAAAGATAGCTGCAAATCTTTTTATCAAGACAAAGTCTATGCCTTCTCTCACCAAATGTAGGTGGACTCTCTGCGTTTTTGTTTTTAAGATTTTATTTTACAGAGAGAGATACAGTGAGAGAGGGAACACAAGCAGAGGGAGTGGGAGGGGAAAAGCAGGCTTCCGGCCCAGTAGGGAGCCCAATGCAGGGCTTGATCCCAGGACTCTGGGATCTGTCTGTCTTAAGTGTTTGAAGGCAGACACTTAACGACTGAGCCACCCAGGCACCCTGGACTCTCTCTGACCAAGAGAATGTGTTGTAAGTGACTCTGTGCCAGTGCCCTGCCCATGTCTTATACTGGCAGCCTCCTTTCCTATCTTTTTTTTTTTTAATTATTTTTAAAGATTTTATTTATTTATTTGGCAGACAGAGATCACAAGTAGGCAGAGAAGCAGGCAGAGAGAGAGGAGGAAGCAGGCTCCCTGCTGAGCAGAGAGCCCGACGCGGGGCTCGATCCCAGGAACCTGGGAACATGACCTGAGCTGAAGGCAGAGGCTTTAACCCACTGAGCCACCCAGGCGCCCCTCCTTTCCTATCTTTTGGAGCATCTGCCCTTGTAACCCTGAGTATTCATGTAAGATGTTTGACTACTCTGCTGGAGAGGCTTCCTGGAGAGTCTCCAGGAGTGCACCAAAAGGAGGTCGAGGGCAGCTCAGGTGTCAGGCATGTGAGTGAAGCTATCTTGGACCCTTCAGCTCAGTCCAGCTGCCAGCTGAGTATCAGTGAGCGGCCCCAGTCAATGCTACTTAGAGTCTGGGAAGCAGAGTGGTTCCCTTGATGGTGATGTAGCAGCAGGCCTGATTCGCGGAGTGCTAAATATCCTCAGAAATGCATTCTGTGGCTTTCGGATGTTCCTAATAACTTAGAAGGTAAATTGGAATGTGACTGAAAGTTGATGAGAAAAGCACTTGGGTGGCTCAGTCACTTAAGCATCTGACTTGGGCTCAGGTTATGATCTCACAATCTTGGGAACAGAAAAGAAAGTTGCAGAGATCTCTTATTCCCTCCATGATTACTTACCTTTTTATTAATGTCTAGATACCACCTGCAGAACACATTGTCTTAAAAGTGTTTTTGGGGGCGCCTGGGTGGCTCAGTGGGTTAAAGCCTCTGCTTTCGGCTCAGGTCAGATCCCAGGGTCCTGGGATCGGGCCCCGCATAGGGCTCTCTGCTCAGCAGGGATCCTGCTTTCCTTCCTCTCTCTCTGCCTGCCTCTCTGCCTACTTGTGATCTCCGCCTGTCAAATAAATTAAAAAAAAAAAAAAATGTTTTTGTTAGGGGCGCCTGGGTGGCTCAGTGGGTTAAAGCCTCTGCCTTCGGCTCAGGTCATGATCCCAGGGTCCTAGTATCAGGCCCCACATTGGGCTCTCACCTCGGCAGGGAGCCTGCTTCCTTCTCTCTCTCTCTGCCTGCCTCTCTGCCTACTTGTGATCTCTGTCTGCCAAATAAATAAATAAAATCTTAAAAAAAAAAAAGTGTTTTTGTTAGAAAGCAAACTGAACATTAGGGGAAACTTCATATTAGTTTCCATATTATTTTTCTTAATTGCTAACTAATAACTAATATATTAAATAGCTAACATACCCTGAGTTTAGTGGTTTTAAATTAATCTCAGTCTCTTAAAATTTGCTATGGAGTGAAGAAAAAGTTTAAAGAAATTTGGTAATTTTCTACTTTTGAACAGGTACTGTGGTAAATTAAAGATGGTCATAATATCTTTGTAAGTCTTCCTGTGAGAGGTGTGATCTAAGTCCCCTCCTCTTGACTTTAGTGACCTGCTTGACCAATAGAATGCAACAGAGTAACCTCCTGAGACTTCTGAGGCTGGCTTATCAAAAGCCTTGCAGTTTCCATTCAGACAAATTGGAATGTCTTTTTGAGAGAAGTCAGTCACCATGTTAAGAAGTTTAACTACCCCCAGAATACTAGGACTATAAGGGCGCCCAAGCTAACCATTTAGAGAAGCCACATGGGGGAAAGGCAGGGAAGATGAGGGGGAAAAGAAAGGCCAGATCAGCCCCTAGCTCTTCTTGCCATCCCTCAGCCTGGGCACCAGATATAGGAATAAAGAAGCCTTCAGATGACTCCAGCTACTGTTATGATTTGCCTACAGTTTTATGAGTTACATTAAACAAGAATTACCCAGCTGAATCCATCAGCCTCCAGAACTATAAGAGAAAATAATAAATGATTGTTTTAAGCTGCTAAATTTTGGGGTAGGTTGTTATACAGAAATACAAACCTGGAACTGGTATCATACCATACATAGTTTCTTATACATGTAGCCTAACAATCTAAATCCGGTCATAATACTTGGCAAGAAAAATGTGAATCATCCTAGAGAAACTTTTGATTCAGTATGATACTCTTCTGCTATAAAATGAATTTCAAGAGAAATGAGACATTTCGCATATTGGTACAAAATAGAAAACATCTTTAGGGACATGAGGTTTATTCCAAAGTTATATTTTAAAAATAAAATCCAATTATTTTAAGTAGTGAGTAGGGTGTATATCACAGAGTGAGCAATGTACTTTCTAGACCCACACGAGTCTTTGGAGACTGAAATTACATTATATAGAACAGTATTTCTAAAAATTAAAGTACAATATTTGTCATTTCTCTCAACAGCTACTATATAGGGTTTTAAGAACTAGGGTAGAGTTTATTTAGAAATAGATTGTTTAGTGAAGAAATTATGTTTCTGTCCTACATTGAAAAACTCAAGTTAATATGTTTCTTTTGGTCTCAAGTTTTTAGAATTTCT